TTTATCATATGTTACCAGTATTACAAGGTATTGTTGGTTTCTCCTCATTTGGAGCCCACAAAATTAGGTATACAGTGGTTTAAAAGAGTCTGTGACCCAGTTTCAAAGCAGGCAGGAGGGTTGGTTTTTTTTGCTTTGTCTCAGAGAATAGTGTGGAAATTAAGGGGCTTTGGATGCATTGGATCCAAAGTTTCATCACATTAAACCCCAACATCCTTTCTGAAATGACTGTATTTACTATAACTGCCAATGGGCAACTTCTCACTGCAGAGTTATCTCTAATGAGAACTTCTTCAGCAATGTTTCTTACCAGAATTCCTAGATGAATGTGTACAATATTATGTGTCGTACAATATCTAATGGATACTATCCTACAGACCACAGGAGTGCATTCCAAAATGTGTTTAGATAACAGTCCTAGGTCAACTTCAGAGACACTTAACTTACTCAAAGCTATCACTAACTCTTATAAGACAAAACTTTGCAGTTAGTTCTTAACAAACATTTTTTATTGAGAAAGCAATCTAAAGAGCAAATTTTAAATCGATTGAGTGGAATGGAATTTTGTACATTTGATGGGTAACTGTGTTAATGTAACACAACAAACATTTCAATAGAATTTAGATTACAGCTTATTCAACAACAATAACAAACCAATTTTGAACTTATTGCGTTTATAAAGAAAAGGAATTAATGAAACATGCTGAATTAATGAATCAGTATATTTCTGCGATCATTTCTGCTATATTCTGGGAAGAAATCATTGTACATATTAATTTGTCTTTAATAATTTCAGATTTCCATATGCTTTTGAACAATGTATCTTGCGCTGCGAGACTCCCCCCTCTCGCAGGTCTGGCCCTCCACTCTATCGAGGGCCTACCTTAATGACGGGCTTTGGAACCCCGAGAGGTGGCATGGTGCGAGAAGGGGGTTGAGGGGTTTTTTAGCTAAATTTTTAATCAAAATTTTAAGGGGACCCAGGAGGAAGGGAGGGGGTTGTAAAAGTGGACCCGGGGGGGTTCAGATAGCAACTGAGTGGGGTGATGGGTCGATTGGCTGCAACGGAGGGGTCGTGAAAGGAAATTTAACCGGGGAGCAGGGGGACGATAGGAAGGGCTGTGTAATTGAAACAATGAGTGGGAGGGGCAGGTATGACGGGCGCAGAGGGCCATATCATGTGCTGGGGGTGCGCACATGCTGTTTACGAGCAATTACGCACCCCGGCCCCCAATGCGCGACTCGTGTCCTGGGTTGTGCAGAGTCTCAGGCCCAGGGTCTGCGGCTGATGTTGTGTAATGCCAGGTCGGTCGTTAATAAAGCCCCCCTCATCTGTGATCTTATTTTAGAGTGGGGTGCGGACCTGGCAGGTATTACGGAGACCTGGTTGGGCCAAGGGGGGGGTTCCCCTCGTTGAGATGTGCCCACCAGGTTTCCGTGCATTTCATCAGCCAAGGGCCCAAGGGAGGGGTGGGGGAGTGGCGGTAATTATTAGGGAGAGTCTTTGTCCGAGGGAGACCACTGTTCCTCAGATAGCCGGATGTGAGTCCCTCTTTGTGAAGTGGGGTGCAGATGGGTTTGCTGACTAGGTACCTGGCTCCCTGCCACGTGGCAGCGACCCTGCCCGAGCTACTCGATGTCATTGCCGGGGTGGCGGTTGATACCCCCAGACTTATTGTTATGGGGGATTTCAACCTTCCATCTGCGGGTGAGGCGTCAGAGGTGGCTTGGGAGTTCATGGCTTCCATGACGGCCATGGACCTGACCCAGTTAGTTCAAGGCCCGACTCATATAGGGGGACACACTCTGGACCTGATTTTTGTCTCTGGTCAGTGGTTGAATGATCTTGGTAGAGGAGACCTAGACATCAAACCCTTGTCATGGACAGATCATTCGCTCCTTCACTTAGACTTTCCTACCGCTTTCCCCCGCCGCAGGGAGATGGAACCGACCAAATGGTTCCGTCCCAGGCGCCTGATGGACCCCGAAAGGTTCCTGACGGAGCTTGGGCCGTTTCCTGAGACTCTAACACACGACTCGACTGAAGAGCTGGTGGCCGCCTGGGAGAGTGCGGCCACCGAAGCTTGGGATTGTGTTGTGCCTTTGCGGCCTCTAACCCGATGCCGATCTCAATTGGCTCCTTGGTTCTCTGAGGAGCTGAGAGAGATGAAGCGTTGGAAAAGACGCCTAGAGAGCATTTGGAGGACTAGTCAATCCGATTCCGACCGGACACAGGTGAGGTCTTATATCAAGACCTACCTAGTGGCGATAAAAGCGGCGAAATCTAACCATTTTTCCGCTCTTATCGCATCTGCAGAGAACCGCCCAGCTGCCCTGTTTAGGGTGACCCACTCCCTTCTTCGGGGGGGGGGAGTGCGGGAAGATCCCTTGCAGGGCCGCGCTGAGGATTTTGTGCAATTCCGCATGATAAAGTCGCCGGATTTGGGATGGCTTGGACTCCGATTGGATGAGTCCAGGGGAGGAGACAGGGGCAGATCTTGAGAATATTATCTGGGAGGAGTTTGATCCTGTGGCTCCCGAGGATGTGGACAGGGTTCTGGGTAGGATTAGTGCCACCACATGTTTATTGGACCCGTGTCCCTCCTGGTTGGTACTGGCCTCCCGGGAGGTTACACGAGGCTGGCTCCAGGGGATTATAACTGCTTCTCTGAGTGAGGGTGCCTTTCCCGCTGCCTTGAAAGAGGCGGTGGTGAGGCCCCTCCTCAAGAAGCCCTCCCTGGACCCAGCTGAATTAGCTAACTACCGTCCGGTCTCCAACCTTCGCTTTGTGGGGAAGGTCCTCAAGAGTGTGGTGGCACGACAACTGCTCGGGCACCTGGATGAAGCTATCTATCTAGACCCATGCCAGTCGGGCTTCAGGCAGGGGCACAGCACAGAAACAGCATTGGTCGCATTGGTGGATGATCTCTGGAGGGCTCGGGACAGGGGTTGCTCCTCTGTCCTAGTCCTATTAGATCTCCCAGCGGCTTTTGATACCATCGACCATGGTATCATGCTGCAGAGGTTGAGGGGGTTAGGAATAGGGGGCACCGTTCTGCGGTGGTTCTCCTCCTTCCTCTCCGACCGCTCGCAGTTCGTGTTGGCAGGGGGGCAGAGGTTGGCCTTGAGGCATCTCGCATGGGGAGTGCCACAAGGGTCGGTCCTCTCACCCCTTCTGTTCAACATTTATGTGAAGCCGCTGGGTGAGATCATCCATGGTTTTGGGGTGAAGTGTCATCTGTACGCTGATGATACTCAGCTGTACATCTCCACCCCAGACCACCCCAACGATGCCCTTGATGTGATGTCTCGCTGCCTGGAGGCTGTGCGGGTCTGGATGGGGAGGAACAGGCTCAGACTCAACCCGTCCAAGACCGAGTGGCTGTGGCTGCCGGTGTCCCGATATAGTCAGCAGGTGCCATCGCTGACTATTGGGGGTGAATCTTTGCCCCCCACAGAGAGGGCTCGCAATCTGGGTGTCCTCCTGGACGCACGGCTGTCTTTAGAAGAGCACATGACGGTCATGGCCAGGGGGGCCTTTTATCAGGTTCGCCTGATCTGCCAGTTGCAGCCCTTTCTGGACCAGGACTCCTTGCACACGGTCACTCATGCCCTTGTCACCTCACGGCTGGACTATTGTAATGCTCTCTACATGGGGCTCCCCTTGAAGAGCACTCGGAGGCTCCAACTGGTCCAGAATACGGCCGCGCGGGTGGTTATGGGCGCAACCTGTTGTGTCCGCATGACACCCCTCCTGAGCGAGCTGCACTGGCTCCCAGTGGTCTTCCGGGTGCGATTCAAGGTGTTGGTTACCACCTTTAAAGCGCTCCATGGCATAGGACCCGGGTACCTTCGAGACCGTCTTCTCCCACCAATAGCCTCCCACCGACCAGTCCGCTCCCACAGAGAGGGTCTCCTCAGGGTGCCATCAGCCAAGTTATGTCGGCTGGCGACACCCAGGGGGAGGGCCTTCTCTGTGGGAGCCCCAGCCCTGTGGAATGAACTGCCCCCAGAAATACATAAGATCTCCGACCTCCGAGTGTTTCGTTGTGCATTGAAGACCCTGTTGTTCCGCCAGACCAGGCTATCAATATAATAATTTTAATTGGGGTATTTTAAATTTTTGGGGTTTTAATCTGGCCAAATTTATTTAATTATTTTAATTTTTAATCATTGTTGTGTCTTGTACTTTTAAATTGGCTGTACACTGTCCTGAGTCCTTCGGGAGAAGGGCGGTATAGAAATAAAATAATTATTCTTGTTGTTGTTGTTGTTGTTGTTGTTGTTGTTGTTGTTGTTGTTGTTATTATTAATGTACCTGATACAGGAAAATTAATGGCTGGCAATGAAAATGAATTCTCCATGCCTTATTTATTGCTAAAAGACTTGTTCTTCAATATTGGAAGGAAAAATTTATGGCCCCAATTAAATTAAAGACTGAATGTTAAATTAAATTAAATTAAAGACTGAATTAAAGACTGATGTTTCTTGTAATTTATGAACAAGTTGCTTACAATGTAGATTATATATCGACAGTTATAATGAAATATAGCCATCCTTTATTGACACATTATGTCAAACCTTATATAGAATAATCCATATACATATGTAGTGTCCAGGGGTGGGTTCTCCTTATCTTTACTACCGGTTCGCAATGGGAGCGCGCATGTGCAGAAGCTTCTGTGAATGCGCAGATCATCAATTATGATGTCTGTGCGGATGGGCAGAGCCTCCTGCCACTTTTACTACCGGTTCTAAAGAACCGAACAGAACCGGGAGTAACCCATCACTGGTAGTGTCTCATTCTCTTGTTTAATTAAATAAGGCCTTTTTTTTAAAAAAAAGGTAACAGTACTAATTATTAGTTACTAATAACTAATTATTAATTTTAATCATGGAATCAGAACGCTCTACTCCCATTAACATGACCATACCTATTCTTGCTGTTGCACTCAATTGAATTATTGCTCGGCTAATTTTAACTCACTTTCTTTTGACAGGTTGTTTAAAAAACCTAAAAGAGCTGAATGTAAGTTTTAACCGTTTGAAGACTATCCCTCCAGAACTTGGAAACTGTGAGAATCTTGAAAAACTGGATTTGTCTGGAAATTTAGAACTAATGGAGCTTCCATTTGAAGTAAGACTTTGAGCTCACTTTTGATGTGTTGATCAATTGAAGAATGGAATGATTAAAGATAATATTATTATTATTATTATTATTATTATTATTATTATTATTATTATTTTATTTCTATACTGCCCTTCTCCCGAAGGACTCAGGGCAGTGTACAGCCTATTTAAAAACACAAGACAAAATATCGATTAAAAATTTAAAATAATTAAATAAATTTGGCTCAATTTAAAACCCCACAAATTTAAAATACCCCAATTTAAAATTATTATGTTGATAGCCCAGCCTGGCAGAACAACAGGGTCTTCAGTGCACAGCAAAACACCCGGAGGTCAGAGATCTTACATATTTCTGGGAGCAGTTCATTCCACAGGGCTGGGGCTCCCACAGAGAAGGCCCTCCCCCTGGGTGTTGCCAGACAACATAACTTGGCTGATGCCACCCTGAGGAGACCCTCTCTGTGGGAGCGGACTGGCCAGTTGGAGGCTATTGGTGGCAGAAGTCGGTCTCGAAGGTACCCGGGTCCTGTGCCATGGAGCGTTTTAAAGGTGGTGACCAACACCTTGAATCGCACCTGGAAGACCACTGGGAGCCAGTGCAGCTCGTGCAGGAGGGGTGTCACGCGGGCACAACGAGTTGCACACATAACCACCCGCGCAGCCACATTCTGGACCAGTTGGAGCCTCCAAGTGCTCTTCAAGGGGAGCCCCATGTAGAGAGCATTACAATAGTCCAGCCGGGAGATGACAAGGGCGTGAGTGACCGTGCGCAAGGCGTCCCGGTCCAGAAAGGGCTGCAACTGGCGAATCAGGCGAACCTGATAAAAAGCGCCCCTGGCTGCGGCCGTCATATGCTCTTCTAAAGACAGCCGTGCATCCAGGAGGACACCCAGATTGCGAGCCCTCTCTGTGGGGGGCAAAGATTCCCCCCAATAGTCAGCGATGGCACCTGCTGACTATATCGGGACGCCGGTAGCCACAGCCACTCGGTCTTGGACGGGTTGAGTCTGAGCCCAAAGGTAATTTGATTCCAAATTAATTAAGGCCATGTTAAGTATTACACCATTACAAATGTATCCTATGGCCCAATAGTGATTTAATTACTTCATTTTTAGAAGTCAAGTAAATAAAGAACCTCAGTGAATTAGATATGAATTTGTTTATGACAGATTCTGAATCTGTATGTGCTTGTGGACAGAAGACCAAATTATGCCAAAACATACTTTGTTTAAGGCTAATTATGTGAATGGCTTTGTGCCATGAAAAACAAAATTATGCAGACAGCTGGAGCCATGCTATGCCATGAAGACTTGGCTGGTTAAAAATATTTGGCTTGGTTTCAAGACTGCCATTAGCAGCAAAAGATGGCTTGGCAAAAATTCAGGGCATTTCCAGACAACCAACATTCCTGTCACCTACGATTCCTGACCTGACTAAGAAGTTGGGATAGAGGAGATCAAGTTATTTATTTCGTTTTAAGTCCACAGTTATTGCAGGGAGCTAACGAACAACTTTTCAGGACACTATAGAAGCATATATATTTCCTTTTGCTTTATAGAAAACAATAAAGAAGAAAAGATTTTCAAACGCCTTTTACAATAGCAACCTAGCTAGCCTTCTCTCCTGCCCCATTAATTTTGTTGACTATTTGGAGCTGGGAACTGATTACTCACTCCTTTCAATAAACTCTAAAGCTGCCTAGTTCAAAGCACAGAAGCAAAATGTTTTCATGAAATTCACAGAATATAGTCAAGGCCTGAAACCTGAGTTCACTGCATGTTGTGACCGTGTCATCAAGAAACATTTAAACGGCATCAATTCTGGATCATTTCTGTTAGCTTAAATCAAGGGTCAGCAACCTGTGGCTCTGGAGCCACATGTGGCTCTTTCATCCCTCTGCTGTGGCTCCCTGTCACTCAAAATATGCATCACAACCGTCAATGTGTGATACCCTCCGGTATGCAATTTATTGAGCTTTTCAACCCCGATAGGCCAACCATGGATAAATCCAAGAAAAGAAGAGTTTCAGAAGAAAACAGAACTTTTAATTCAACTACATATGCTAGTTTTGTGGCTGCTCAAGAAATAGTGAGGCACGGGAAGGGTTTTGTGGCTCCTGGTGTTTTCTTTTCTGTGGGAAATGGGTCCAAACGGCTCCAAATGGTGGGGATCAGCTTAGTCATGAAAAGATATACATCCCCATCAGGAAGTGCCCACAGTTGCACACCTTTGTGGTGCAGCTGAAATCTTTTACAAATTACTTAGATGCTTTAGGAAAAGAAAAATTATTTAATATTCTGTAAAAATATTAGGAATATGTATCCAATCCATCTACATGTGGCCAAAAGCCCATAGGATACATATGTCTTGTTATATGCCTAACAGAGGGCAAAGTGAAATCATAATAATTATAATAGTATTTTTCTGTTGCTCCCTCTGCAAGATGAGTAGACACATGCTCACTGAGACCATTTCTATTGCTTTTGATTACTTCTATTTCATTAATAGCTCCTAAGGTCTTAGAAGTCTATTGATTTTTGCTGGAGATGTTAAGCACCGAATAGTGTTACTGATTTAAAGACAGCATAATTTATTTAATGTGTTATGATGTAATTGGAATATTGGGCCTAAGGCTGCATTTGAAGATTTAGTCCGATAAAATGTTACAAAAAACAAAAAAGTTTTTAAATATTTTTTAAAAATGATATGATTTAGTCCTTGCTTCAATTACCAAACATAGGTTTGCAATTATATGTTGATTTTAAAGTTCTCATACTAGAGATTGGTGCTAAATTAGCATAACACTGTCTAACATACCCACTGCATCTCCACAAACTTGCCATTTTGTTTCCTATGTTCTCAAGGAAGGAGGCACAAGTATTACAACACTAAAAAGATGGGTTGTGTGTAGAGTATTGGATGTATGCCTATAAACCTATCATAATCATTGGATGTATGCCTATAAACCTATCATAATCAAATCATGACCAGATTTTAACATTGGTAAAGAGGGACATTGTGGGCGTGGCTTATTTTGTGGGCGTGGCTAGCTGGTCATGTGACTGGGTGGGTGTGGCTAGCTGGTCATGTGACCGGGTGGCCATGGCTATGTGTATAGGGTAAGGTGAACAGATTTTAACATTGGTAAGAGGGACACCATTGTGGCCGTGGCTTATTGTGTGGGCGTGGCTTGGAGGCCATGTGACTGGGTGGGCGTGGCTAGCTGGTCATGTGACCGGGTGGCCATGGCTATGTGTATAGGGACTACTCAGAGGGCTGGAAAGTCATTTCTGACAGGTCCTCACACTTTTGACTGGTCCTCACACTTATGACCATCCTCACATTTATGCCCGTGCAGCATTCTTAACAACCATGTCACTCATTTCACAATGCTTCTCTTCACCATGGTGACAAGATAGGGCAAAAACGTAAAATGTGAGGACAGTCGTAAGTTCGAGGACTGGTCAAAAGTGTGAGAACCAGTCAAAAATAACTTTTTCAGCCCTCTGAGTAGTCCATATGCACAAAAGGACTAACCAGAGGGCTGAAAAAAGTCATTTCTGACAGGTCCTCGCACTTTTGACTGGTCCTCACACTTATGACCATCCTCACATTTATGCCCGTGCAGCATTCTTAACAACCATGTCACTCATTTCACAACTGCTTCTCTTCACCATGGTGAAGAGAAGCAGCAAAAAACGTAAAATGTGAGGACAGTCGTAAGTTCGAGGACTGGTCAAAAGTGCGAGGACCAGTCAAAAATAACTTTTTCAGCCCTCTGAGTAGTCCATATGCATAAAAGGATACAGTAATAGAGAGGGATGAAGGAAGGGAAGGGAAATTAGAGTAGGAGTGACGGTTAAGAGAGGGAGGAAGAGAGGAGGAGAAGGAGAAAGGAAGAGGAAGTAGGGAGGAGAAAAAGAGGGTGGGGGGAAGAGAAAGTAAGAAGGAAAGAAAAGAGAGGTGGTAGGTTTGAGGAGAAAGATTGCTGTACAATAAAAAAGATGAAAGGGAAGAAAGCCAACCCCAAACAAATATAAAGATATTAAGATAAAGAATGAATTGTTAAACTTTAAAGAATAAAAGAGAACAGATATGAATAAATAGCAATAATTAGAAACACACATACATACAATGTATTTTCTTTGAACAGAATATTTGGCTGGTTCACAAATTTAAACAGTGTTTAGTCATTTCAATTAAATTTACAATTTCTATATTTCCTTTTTGCCATATTTATTCCTCATCTATTTTTTTAAAAAAACAATATTACCCTTCATCCTCATCTCTAATCTTAATCAAATTCAATTTTTCCCTTCTATTCTATTTTATACCCCTTCCCATTGTCATCTATTTTTATATCCATCCTCACATTGTTTAGTTATGTAATTATGTAATACAGTTGTTTAATACAAATTCAACATTTTAATATAAATCAATTAGTTATATAACTATCTTTTTTGTATATTAATCAATATGAACATGAATATTCCAATTATTTCCATGCAATCCAATTTCTTACAAATCAATTAATTATACTTACCAATAATAATAAACCAAATAATTTCCCCCATATATTCCTCCAAACCACAACTTAACCATTTCTGCTTTCAACACAGTATACAATTAATAGTATCTCAATTATTACAATTCCCTAGTTAAAAAGAGCTTTTTTTTCTTTTGTGTTTTAAAATCTTGAACTCTCCTCTTTTGCCCTAAATAATTTCCCATTGTTTACACCTACCTTTTTTGGTGAGGAAAAGGAAAATAAATCTGCTGCCTAATTTTCCAACGTTGCAAGCAAACAGCAAAGCCAACAGCCAGTTTCACTTTCGTTTTGAGCTTGGTTTGCACAAAGAGAAAAAAAAAACTGCTGGAGCAATTTAGGAAGAGCAGAGCCCTGCGCAAATCAGCTGAGAGGGGGAAGCCGAGCTAATCAACGTAGGGCGGCCCTTTGAAGCCCCGCGGCAAGAGTTTAAACAGGTTTTTTCCCTCTAGCCAGCAGCG